TTGGAAGGGATTCCAGTTTCTTGAAGCCTTGGTAAGATACCAAAACAAAGAAATAAAGCTCTGATGTCTTGCTTCCTCATTTTTTTGCAGCAGCGAAAAAGAAATAGTGAGTTATGTTGAATGTACAATAAAGAAAATGGCGTGCTCTTTGTTTAACATATTGCATAAAAGGTCTTTTTGTTTGTTTTTTCTTGCCAATATGTTGAACTAATGACATGAAAATGCTATTAAAAATGATTCAACTTTATTTACAAAAGAAAAAAAATGACTTCGTAATACAGCTAATTTAAAAAAATTGTTTTGATGATGAACTGATTCATGGACGATGCTGTAACTATTATTATAAAGTACCGGTATTCGAGTACTTCGAACAAAATTTCTATAGAGCCTTTATATATTCGATTGGTTCGTGCAAACTAGTTGTTAGTCTATATTCTGTCCAGAATACTTGTGCTACAATCACTTTATTTTAATATAAAATGACATTTTAATAGCACATATTGATTTAATACAAGTTTCAGAAACGTACTATTGACTATTGCATAAACTAAAAAACGGAACAGATATATTTTTTTAAATGATGCCTATCTTTTGTCTAGTAATTTAAAAAGTAAACAAATTGTTCATATAGAGTATTAAGTTATTGTTAATCTGAAAAAGCTGTCTTTTTTTCGACTGTAAGAGGATTTTCCAATCTAGATTGTAGAAATGGAATTCAAAATAACCTTCCATTTATATGCTTTAAAAATGAAATAGGAACACTAGTCGTATTGTGTTGAATCGTTGTCTACATATAGAAGTTGTCAAGACAAATGTATACAAAAATGGTTCTGCTAATATCTATTTATCTATCGAACTCATAAAAATTTTATGATACATGTTGTACGAATGCTTCCGCTCTTCCGTATCTCCAAGCGCAGTCAATAACCTAGATAAAAGAAATTTACAGCCTTTTTATTTTCAAGAAGACACTTGAACATCGTGACTTTTATGGCCATGTCTTTTTTTTTTTATTTTCCTCGTTCTTGAACTCTTTCAGAAAGCTGTCACACTAACATTCTGGGTGAAACGTCAAAGTGCTAAAATGGACAATTATTTGAAAAGGAAACATCTTCGTTCAGATAATATTTCAATATAGAGTTGCTTGATTAGTATCTATCATCTGGAAGACATATATTGAAAGAGAGTGAATGTTTGCTTTTCTTCGAGATAATGGAACAAATGGCAATACTGCTTCAAATTTATCAGTTCCATTGTTTCCTGTTTCAATTTGACCTGTAATGTGTTTTCTAATACGTACGAGTGGTTTTTCGCAAGTCTTAATTCGTCAATGATTCATCCATGTTATTTTCATTTTTTGCAATTCAACAAGAATTAGTTAGCGAAATATCCAATTAGAATTCTCAACCTTCGTTTCACTATAGAAGAGACGGAGAATAAAATAAATAAACTCTGATAAACAGCAACAAAAATGATTGCCATCTTATCAGTATGCATCGTTAGGCACAACAAGAAATACTAAACATAAACAATAATGCGAAACGTTAATCAGCGCTGTTTCAGTTTTATCATATCTAAATTCATGTTTGCCAATGCATTTCTAAACAAACATATCAACTGTTGTGTACAATTACACAGACACAAAAAAAAGTATGACATTGTTTTTTAGAATTTATTTGAAAGCAGCTTCGAGTGTACAAAGAAGAAAAAAGTACACAAACAAAAAGAGAATTAAGAGAATCAAAAAGAAAAAAATTACATGTCTTCTGAGATCATTAAAACGAATTGGTTACTGTATTGATACTGAATAGTAATTGATTTAAGTAAAGTCGAGATTATTGTTAAAAAATTTTCATATATTACTTCCAACAGAATGCTCCACCAACTTGAAATGTTTTACAGCAGTCAACAAAAGTACCACTGTCGAGACCATTGTATCGATTTGAACACTTTATAAAACAAATACATAGAGAAAACGAAAATAGTTAAAGAAAGAATGAATCCTTAGATGTATATCAATACTCTGGGAGAAAACCACAACTAATAGCATATGTTCTCATTATGCAAATTAAATTGCCCTCTACAATATTATTTTCGTAGTAAGTTTTCAAAAAATGGCCTATACTCTACGTGAAGGGTGCAAACATATATACAGTATGAGTATGAAGAAAAAACATATTGTCGAGCTGTGATATTCATGATGGATATACCTGATTATTTGGACCTGGAAAGAGAGTAAGATAGCCAAAACCAGGCTATTCTTGACAACATACTAACGTTAGACTATTGTATTGACCACGACTGTCTTGACATTTACAATTGTATCCAGCAAAAATACTAAAACAAGACAATGTCCAATGGTAATCTTTTTTTTTCATATTAATGATAGTTGAAAACAGAAAGGAACTCACCTTGATGTCAACAAACCGAGACAAACAAGTAGAAAGCATAATGAACGCATTATATAGTTTATGTGTGTAGTGAACAATGATTGATAGTAACCTTGATCGTGTATCCTTATAGAAAGTGAACATTCAATTTATACTGGTTCTTTCAATTCTAGGTAATTGACATGTCGTCAAATGAATCTCATTTGGGAATGTTACCATTTAGATAAAAAAAAGATCCCCATCGATATGTATCTTTTGACGCAGTAGCTATTTGAATGATGGTGTATAGGAGTTCATTTTTAATTTTAAGTATGTATAATGATGTATAACTACCGCATAATTATCTTGTCATCCATCAAAGAGTTAATGAATCAAAAGGTACAAATATATGCATGTGTATTTTTCTTTCTGTTCCGTGTGAGAACATCCTCATATGTGATTCACCGATTTCTTCGTTCTTTACCTGTGCTGCTGATGTGATACCGATTTTGTATAATTCAAAGAACAAGTATAAATATAACTCTCATTTTCTCTAAGAATGCACGATCAAACTTATTTTCAATTATTGTTCACCACATACACATAAACTTTTATTTATATAATGCGTTCATTATTTTGTCTAATTATTTGTCTCGGTTTGTTGACATCAAGGTAAGCTTCTTTCTGATTTCAAACATCATCAATTTGAAAAAAAGAAAGATTAGCATTCGATATTGTCTTGTTTTTAGTATCTTTGCTGGATACAATTGTAAATGTCAGGATAGTAATGGTCAGTATAATGGTGTGACAATGGAATGTTGTAGGAGACAAAAGTATTTTAATCTTGCCACTTTTTATGGTCAAAATAATCAGGTATGCTTACACATGTAATCATTGTTCGAACATTTTCACTTTTCTTTATAAAGTGTACAAACCGATTTAATGGTATTGATAGTGGTGCTTTCGATCAATGCTGCCGAAGTTATGGGATTGGTGAATCATATTGTTGGAAATAATCAATGAAACTCCTGCCTTTGAATAACTTTCAGTTCGGTCAAATCAAATTATCTGAGAAGACAAGCAATATTTTATTTTCATCTCTCTTTTTTCTTCTATATAAACCAGAAACGGCTTTGAAATGAATTTCAACAAAGTGTTCAACCTCTTTTTCTGTTGACATGAACTACAGCAGTGGTAATGGAATTTATGTATTTTTATTCAAGTCCAGTTTTTTTTCTACTTGATACTGTAGGGTGGGTGTGGATGTATAGGTATGTTTGACTATTCTCTTCTCTCCAGATGCTACAGAAAAAAAACAACACTGTTACTTCGAATATGTGATGAGAAAATTTGTTAACATTAAAATTTTATTGAGTCCCAGAAACCAGTAGTTAAATGATTTATGAAGTGTTGTAGTCGCTCATCGGTTCTCCATTCACATAAAACGGTGCCCTGTCTCGTCTGTTCAGAAAATGGAGACCAACATCAAGTGATTCGAATGATATCTATATTACCAAGCAAGTAATATGTTTAGTCTAATAAGGTTTAAATCTTCAATAACGTTGAGCAGAGCAATAGTTTTTTAAAACCAGTGTATTTTTATAATAGTTGAAAATAGTGGATTTGCATCTTTCAATCCAATGTGCTCACTTCAAACAGTGAATGCAGATATAAATATGCAAAACACAAAATTTTTAATCTGAATAGTGAGGCGAACTTTGCATTTCGAAATTGAATTAAATAACCAGTCCGATTTTTTTGAGTATCATTCGAATTCGTTTCATGCTTAGATAATAGAGGAAATTATCATTTCAAAAATTAAGTTAATCAGACTATATGGGAAAGAATTCAATTAATAATAATTTGAGTTGCTAATTATAATTTTATTTCATGATTTTCTGCAAACTGAGCACATGAATGAAAATTCAACTTGCAACTATTCGTAAAGTTCCTTTGTATTTACTTTGTTTGTTGTTGACTGAATAATAGAACTCGAACTATTATTATTACATACATAAACCAATACTTGATGTCTTTGCATTGTATTGACAACGAAAAACAACTTTGCTTCGAGGCTCAATAATCTTGAAAAAGCGTTCCATATTGACTTTGTAATGATTATTTTATGCCTTCTTAGGAATGATAGAATAGCATCGTATTCAGAGAGAAGACTCACTAGCTTGCTCTTCTCTCTCGTCCAAGAGAGGAAAGGAAAACAATAACGACTCAGAATAGACTACTGTAGAATATTGAGCGTTGGTGGTGTAACGGTTAGCATGGTTGCCTTCCAAGCAGCCGACCCGGGTTCGACTCCCGGCTAACGCACAGTTGTTTTTTTTATTACTAAAAGTTCATTTTATCTCTGAAAGCAATACTACTAAGTCAAACAAACAACAAAGAAAAAAACCCATGAAAGTTTTTGAACACATACTTAGAATGATCAAAACATTTTTGGAACATCTTCATTTTTATTAAATAAATGATATTTCCAAGAATCTCATTCTATTATAAATGTTCAAAGTATTTGTTCTTAATAGGTAAGTTGAAATGAGAAAATGATATTGGATGGATGTATGAGGCTATTATTTAGACCTATCATCATCTATTTCATCCATTCTGAATCCGCTTTTCTCAGTCACTACAACTCATCCATCTAATGTCACTCTCACCCACAATTAAGCAGGAATTTTGTTTGCAAGGGTGATATAAATTTTTAACAAAAAATCGAAATATATAAATAATATCAATATTTTCAGTTCGAAATGCTCGATTGAGTAAACGATAAACAAATGCATCTCTCATATACCATTTAATAGCTTGATCAAATTGATATTCTTTTTCAAATTGATCAATAATATCTAATTGATTTTGATTATTACTATAATATGATCGACATTGTTCAATCATATCTTTTGTTGCTTTATTATCAGCTTCATCACTCATTCGAACAAGTGTATCGACTAATATGTCAAACTGTATGATCGATGGTTGATCGTCACTAGAATTTCGAATAGAATTTTCGATGAAATTTTCATTTCTAGTTGATTGAATAATATCTTTTTTTAATTTGTTTATTAGATTATTTGTATTTATAAATATTCCATGTATTTTATTATAATTCTTGGTCAATTGTTGATATTTATTTTCATTGCAACAAAATATATAGATATATTCTATTTGTGATAGAGAATGAATTTTCGGTACAATATCCAAACTAAATAAGCCTGATGTTATTAGAAATAATTTTTCTGTAGAACATTCAATAATATAAGCCATGTATTCATTGATATTATCGAATGTTTTTATATAATTAATAACTGTTCGAAAATGTCTTAATGTTTCAAAACATTCATCGGATTTATTTATTGAACTATCGACCCATATGACAGTAAAATCTTCAAGATTGATATCGCAACGAAGAATATTCGGCGGATAGGATTATTGTGATTCTGAATTATTTTGTAGATAGCCCCGCACGATGAATCATATTGTATGGTGTTGATGGAGGTAAAGGGACATTTTCATTTGTATCCATGTTCTTTCACTTTTCAGAGATAAACGAGAAACTAAACAGAATATTCATTCAATAGTTCATATCAAATTTTCTAATAATATTGAATGAGTCAACTGTGATCATAAATACAAGATTTGAACTGTTTCTTATTGGCTTTCGTACTTTAAGATTTTTTTGAAGCGATACAATTTTGAAATTAAAGAAATTCCAAACGCGAACAATTACATTTATGATGATAGTTTTCTTTCACATACATATAAGAACGCTCTGGAGTGAAAATTGATGGACATCCTTCACCATATTTAATTGATACGAGTGGTAATCTATACTCGTTCTTTTTTTTGTTAAAACGCTTTACATAAGTAGCAAAAGACTTATTTATGCATTGATAAACTTTCTATTCGCTCTAAAATGATACAATAACCCTCAAAGACTCCTCGAAACAAAATTTTGTTTTTTTCTTTCACGAAGTAATCAAATGATTGTCATCATTGTAAAATACAAAATGTTTCGTTAAATATATTCAAATCTCTAGCTACCATTTTCTTAATTCATTACTTAACCTATTAAATTCCAAATAAAAATCTAAATTACAAAGAATATTATTTGTTTGGTTCATTCATTATTCTGTCATATGAAATGTATTATATTTCATTTTGATTTCTACAAGACAGTTCATGATAAAAACTTCATCAGTGCAACCCTGAAAAGGGTAAAAATGTGGAACTCACATAAGAATTTAGCACCAATAATGAAGAATATGAATAGGTATGAGAGAGATTATAGACCATAAACATTGAAACTCAATTCATATAATGAAGCGGCTCTTTTTCTAAACTGATTCTCATTACATCCTATGCAATAATGCGTTAAATAAATTCAGAATATCTAGTTTTGGTTAGTACTGTCTGTAAAGAGAATCTTTCGAAACCGGACTGAAACTTATACACACTATGAAAAGTAATAACATTTTGACGAAACATATAAGGTTTTGTAGGAAACTTTTCTTCTATATAGTAACGGATGCTAACCAAAAATTAAGTCAATTTAGGTAAAAAGTCTGTGTCACTCATTTTATTGACATGCTGAAAACTTTAAACATCGATATAAAAAAAAATTAAACATTTACGTTTTCTCTTCCTTACTTGTACATATAATGCAGTCGTGATGAATTGTCGTCATCGAACCCAATATAAACATATATTTTCTTTTCTCTAGTTCAGGGACTCACTTTCCATATAAGTATTTATATAAGTCGGTGTAAACAGTACAGTGATGTAAATACATCATTAATACCTATATTGTGACAGGAAGCACATGGTTTTTCTTCAATTAAAATTGATCGATCCGGAATTTCAATCAAAGAAAGAAACGAAAATCCCATTTATTGTCTTCAGTGCTTTGAGTCGAAAATAGTTTTTGAAAATGATATCGATAATTAGCAAGTATTTCAGACCAAAAAGATACTTTATTGGCTGGTTCTTAATTATATTAACGTTTAGGAACAAAACTCATGGTGATCAAGAGTATACTACTGTGAAACATGATGATTAGTGTTAATGTTCCTAGCAAGAAAACTAAACTGTCCTTTCAACACATCTTATGGCCTGTGACCGGCATGGTGACTTGCTTTTTCATTGAACGAAGATATACTGAAACAAGGGTGTAGTTGTGTGTCGATATAAATGAACAGAGTACAATGACTATAACTCAGCAAGAACTGAGTAGTAAAAGAAATCTTTGTTAGCTTTTCATAATTTCACTCGGATGTATTTAGGAGCAAAGCGTTATTTCAAAACTCTATGAGAGATTGGGTATGATACAAGTGATTTATTTTTAGCTACTAAATCCTTCTTCTAGAGTCAATATTTGAAAGAGAATACCCAAAAAAAATTATCTGAATAATAAAACTTCTTCAAAGAATGCGAAAGCTTCATTCAAATATTAAATTAATGACTCATTTCATTTTTCTTTTTCACTTTCTAATGTAAGTAATAGGTGAATCAAAAGAAGACGCACAATATTTTCTTTCGTTCTGTTTTTATTTTGTCACAGGTAAAAAGAAATTATTCTGAGAGTAATACTCATTATTGCTTATATTAGTAAGACGTAAAGTTGCAAGTTACCAATAAAGAATATTTCTATTTACGATGTCAAACAACACGAGTCCATCAATTCAAACATTACCCGTAGAAATACTGCATCGTATTTTTGATAGTCTTGATGCTCAAACAATTTTATTTTCAATTCAACCAGTATGCCGATTATTTCGAGCAATGGTCAATACTTATGATCGGTATTTTTTGGATTTTAAGTCAATATCAAAGTCAAATTTCCATCTATTGTGCCGTTTAATCAATCCTCAAAATGTTATATCATTAAGACTTTGTGATGATGTATATACTCCAAATCAAATTGCTTTATTTATTTCATTGGTTCGTCTTCGACAATTTACTCGACTTCATTCAATAACGTTTTTTGGTATTGAAGAATTCCAATTGAATATGATTTTAAAACGTATCAATTTAAATTTATTGAATTCATTTTCATTGAATATTCGAGAATATGATAATAGGCGAAGAAACACAACACTAAGTTTTCTTTCCTCAATTTTAGCACAATCCAATCTTCGAAATGTTGAACTGAATATAAGAAATGATCGAATATCTAGTACATTATGGCCTGCCACTTCTAGGATCGAATATTTAATTATAGATTCAGATATTAGTTTTCACAGTATATTCACTATTCTTTCATGTTCTCCACAACTGCACACACTCATTTTGAAACAAAATTCACCAACTTTAATTGAGAATATGAAACAGACATATTCTTTTCCACAATTAATTTCATTGACTATAGAAAACCTAGATGTTAATATTGATCAACTTGAATCATTTGTTTTCCTAATGCCATCACTTATCTATCTAAAATTAATAGGTCAACAATATGTATTTGATGGGAAGCGATGGGAACAATTTATTCAAATAAGTCTTCCTAATTTGAACAATTTTGAATTTTTCATTGATATTTCAAATTCAATTAGTCAAACTCAAGAAAATCTTCAATTAATAATTGATTCATTTCGAAGTCCATTTTGGATTGAATATAAAAAATGGTTTGTAGCCTGTCAGTATACTCCTAGTTATCCATATACGACTCAAATATATTCGATACCAATTTGTAAATCTATTGTTCAATATGATGTGAATTCAAAAAATATAAATCTTTCTAATTCGACAACGTTATTGACCTATGATCCATTAACAATAAAGAATATTAATGAAATTGTTTTATCACTGGGCTCCTCGACATATGAAAATACGAGAGAAGTTTGTCATGAAATTTATTTAACTGAAATATATCTCTTTGTTTCTTTGTAGAAATCATCAAGAATCAATGTTATGTTTTCTAATGTAACTAAAATTCATGTAAAACTTGATAACAAACCTCCTTTGGATTCATTAGAAGTTCTTACTAAAGTAATCGATGTTTCGAAATTGGTTGAAGTTAAATTACAAATCCGCTATTTTAAACAAGATATTCAAAATCTTTTGTTTGAAATTATTTCTTTTCTCGAACAAGCGTATTCTCTTTCGTCTTTGATATTTTATGGAAATTACTATAAAGGCGAATTGTATCCATATGTGAAGCATATATGCTCAATAATTCCACGCCAGATCAAGCATTTACAAATACCGATCAATCAATTAGATCAAATCGAAGCCATTTTGGAACGATGTCAAAATCTTTCAGTTATACAGTTTGAAATAACACGTTTGAAATTTTCTCAAGAGGTCGTTGATTGGTTTAATCAACATACTATTGATTCAACAATTCAAAAACATGCTAGATGTAATATTATATGGATTGGAAAGAAAATAAATCATATTACGGATAATCATAAACGAATTAAGTTAGATGAAAATCAATTGGACTCTTAATATATTTTGCATGTTTGATCAAATTCGAATAAATAAACAAAAAAACACATTTTTTGAATTTATTGAACGTCAATTCTTAGTTTCCTAAAAATGATTTTCTAATCAAAGCACTTGTCCCACTTTATTATCCTTGTGGCAGGTGAAGACAAGCGGCTCATCCAGACCCATACTCCGCCCTATCCGTACGGTATATACCTTTGATAATAAAATGAATTTTTCCACCTTATCCCAAAGATATGGGTGTAGGTTATGGTTTGATTTAAACCGAAGTGAAGTGAAAACTTGTAAAATCAAACAGAACCAAAAAATTAATTCTTTAGAATTTCCTTAGTAATAACAAAAACAATGTAGGCTTTATTATAATACGTTTGTCTTATTTCAAATAACTTTTAACCGAAGTCTTACCATAATGATAGGAGACTTCATGTTAACAAGACTTTTATATATTCAAACGCTCTGAAAGAGTAGTATCTTGGGTATAATGGACTACTCTTTCATAGTTATTTAATTAATTAAAAACTAAAGTTTTAATATATATACATAATATGAAATATGCCTAATTCTCAGAATTCTAAAATGGTTTAGCATTTTTTGATTTCTGAAAAAAGTATTTCTGATCCTACAAAATGTCGCGAGTTTTCGAGAAATATTTTAAATATTAGTAATTATATAAGAGAAATCTAATATAAGATTCTCTGGAACATTTTATCTATCTGAATATAATAGAACATCTGATAGTCTTCAGTTGGAAAGAAAGAAAAGGTTATTTTATATATTTATATATGTAAATTTATGGTTTTTCTTTGTTTTTATTTTATGCATGTTAAGAAGAGAGGAATTATATTTATTTTTCTTTTTTACATGTCTAAACACCTATTCAAACTGTCTCATTTTAGCTAAGAAACCAACTGAGCGGAACCAAATCAAACACTGAAGTTAATTTGAAATACTACAAACCGAACCGAATCGAGCCGTGATCAACTCTGTTGCACACTCTAGTGCTTTACTAGGCGTCAAATTTCAAGTTGAAACTAGTGTCACCAAAAAGCGCACCTTGAATTGTGTATTCAATAAAAAAAATCACTGTTTGTAGCTATGTAGACATTAATAAGATCTGGGTGTGCATGTAACTCATCTCTTTTCGCAAATACATACAACCATATCTCATTCTTCATTGTCAGTTCATCATAATCCAGACTCATTATATTTAAATGAGCTTTCGTTATTGTTTTTCAATTTGAAACAAAGCAACAACAGGAAAATGATCAGAAGAATAATTTCTAGATCGAATATCTATGACAGCTATGAATCGAGGTTGTAAACGTTCGTTTTCATTAATCGAATTTCTATATAAAATCCAATCGACATGAAATCGATGTGAAGACCATAATGAACTCATTTCTGATACATTTAGCTTCGGACGAAATTTCCACAATTCTTTTAAAATATCGATATAAGATGAAAGGTGTTTGGGTATTTCATGTGGTAATCGAATACCTGAACCATGAAAAGTAAATATTATTGTTTGTAGAAATTGAAATGCATAAGTGTTGATTATTGATCCTAACCAACCGTGAAATGTTGACGAAAATGAATTCGATACACACATTGATGCTTGAGATTTACAAACTACCCAAGTATCATGTAGAAAGTTCGAAGACGTCAATATATTATATGCAGCTTGCTTTGGAGCACAATTAAAATCTCCAAATAGAAGAACTGCATCTTTTGGATATTTCTTTTGCCATTGTTCTATTGTTGATCGAATAATTTTCGCCTGTTCTCGACGTGCTGGTTCACTTTTGACATCTAAATGGGTATTAAAAACAAGAATATTCATCCTTTTACCACTATTTTTTAATTGAAACCGTGCAATATTTAATGTTCGTGCTCCAGCACTATTCCAATCTTTGCTTTCAACAATTCGTGGTGATTTTGATAGCCATATATAATCTTGTTCTACTAGTTGTAATATTTGGCTATTGTATAAAATAGCAACTTGAAAATCCCTATGAGATGATGGGTCTTTCAGATTCCTATCGATACCACCAGGCTGATAGCCAATATATTGATAATGTTCTGGTAGCTGAGAACGCCAATGCAACAATTGACCAGCAAATGGTTCTTGTACGCTTAGAATAAATGGTTGCCATTTTTTAACAGTTTCTGTTAAACGATAGACTCTCTTCGTAAAATGATTATTTGGATCACGTTCTACTCCATCCAAACGAATGTTAAATGTCATAACAGACAATAAATTTTGTTTGATAACTAAATATTCTTGCAGTAAAGCGGAATCATCTTGTTCAGTGTAACGTGGAAAAGTAAAAAGGAAGGCAATGAACACAGGAATTAATATTGAAAATAAAATAAGCCATTTTTGTCGCATGATAAGATTTACTAATTTCCAGACACTTTAATTTACTATGAAAATTCACAAAATATTTAATAAAATAAAATAACGGATTTAACTGATTGAATTATCTACAAGTTAAGCTTCTGTAGATATCAAGACAAGAGAGTACAGTGAATAATTAGACTCTTCATCTGATTATTTATGTCTTTTTGTATTTGAGAGAACTAATTTTAGCTACCTATATACATGTTTTGATCTTATTGGCTTCTATTATCCATCAGAGCATACTATGGACCTCTAACAATTAATCTGACAAAATGAAATGAAGATTTACGTTATTGTAAATGAAACAGAATGTGTGAACTTTGATTAGTAGGATAGCAAGTTTTATTATAATATAGAAATTTTATTTCCACTAGTTAAATATATTGAACACACAAGGGAAAACAATGGTGTCGCTATCCAGCACGCCCATATAGTAACAAAGAGTCATAGCTAATTGTTCGACAAATTGCTTCTTTATAATCTATTGAGATTCTATAGTTGTTACCATTGATTTTCTTTTTCTCCTATCTAAGAAATACAAATCATTGACTATTTTATTGGAATATTTTAAAAGTATTCAACAAAAAAGAAACAAAAAACAACAATAATAATTGAACTTGACATGTACACGAAGTTGACTTTGTCTGTGACTGTTCCAGTTGATTGATTACATTGACTAAGCGAACAAATTCATTGCGATATAATACTGTACTGTATCGTTGTAAAAACTGTTCTCGTACATCGACGTACTCAGATTGCCAATCTGGTCGAAGGCACTGTCCATAGAGAAGTAGTTCGGTACCACATTGAAAATCATACATTTCTTTTAGTTCATAACGAACTTTATTGGCATCAAACCAATCGGTGATATCTTTCGAGTTCCATTCGTCAATTGGTTTAGGATTAGGTACAAGTACTGGCGTTATCTCGCAATTGGATTGATTAGAAATATCATGATCATCTTTTGGCGATTCTTCATTCGACTTGTCATTCTCATTGGGCTTGATTGCAACAGGAGGGACAGTTACGGACATTGTAGAATCCTTGTGTTTTGAGCTTTTCTCGCTCTTATCTTCAAAAATAAGTTTTACAAGATCTTTGATCGTTGCTTCAAAAGATTTTTTGCCAAAACGAATGTATTGTGGACCGACAATGCGTACACCTAACCAACCACTAGCCACAAAATCTCGTTTTACATAGACGGGAATAAATCGTTTCTTCAGCGAATCTTTCGTATACATCACTTCTTGACGACATGATTTGCTATCTTGATAATCTTTTGTCATGAGCAAAAGTATTACATCAGACTTTTCGATTGCTTGACCGATTTCTCCCCACAGATCTTCCGTATGGCAATAATCGAAGTCAACCCAAATATCGAAAAGATTCTCTAAAACAGATACAAAGATGTTTTCTTAGAAGAGCCCGACATTAAATCTCAGAAAATGACTGACGTATATTTTTCGCGATAGAAAAATCGTTGTCATCAGTTATTTCTTCTTACATACTCAAACATTTTCGGTCTACATGAATCATAAGTTTAAAATGAAATACAACAACGAGGTACATAAATTTTAAGGAGAATAGACATCTCAAAGAAGAATTTAAACTTCACACATTTTTCTTTGTTTGGTACCAAATGTTGCTCCTTATTTCTTTCGTGAAAAATGTGGCGTGAAATGCTTTAGAAAATGGTATACAAGTGTTAACTAATGGAAATAACTATTATTATCTTGTAATATACAACAGAAACATTTTAAAAAAAGTGAGTTTTATTTTCTGAGAGCTTTTAGATCAAATATTTGTTTTCTTGGATCAAATGACTTCCGACAGAGTCAGGTCAACAATCTTATTAACGATATTGATAGTATTAATGTGCGTCTTCTCTTCATTCACACCTACACTCTAGTCAAATGATGTACATGTAACAGCCCTGGGACATACCTTTTTCAAGTGCATCTACCAGTTGATGACAAAACTCAGCATCCACATGCGAATAGCTGACCATGATACGCATTCGTCTGTTTTCCGCTACGGTCACTAGAGAAGAATTTGTCTGATCGACCATAGTTGATGTCGACTCCACTGTGTGAACTGTTCGTGCTGAACTCAATATAAAACAGATCAAAATAAAATCAATTGATGTATCAGTTTTCTAACCTGGACTACTTTCATCGAGATTCCATAAAATGCGCGCGGCTGCTTTTTTTACTGATGACATGTGTTTTGGTACGTATTTTTCAATCCAACCTTCTCCATCGTCATTGGCGAGACTTTTGACAGTGATGAGAAATTTTGCATTCGATTTGAGTTCGTCGACATAATCATGATGAAACGAAATACTCCAAATAATGTTCATCAGCGCTGTGAGCGTTCGTTGATCGAGTTCGTCATCATTAGCGAGAGCACCTCGAAATTGCATCATTAGATCACAAAAGAAGGCGATTTTCGAAGATGCTTTCATATCTTTGACTTCAGATTCCTTGATGCAATAATGTATAATTTCGTCATGAACGAAAAGTTTTGTGAAAACCACTAATGGTTCACTGATATCAAAATCACCATATTTGTGATTTTTTTTTCGTGCGGTATTGATAGTTAACTGCATCAGTTGATCGAGTATTTTTCTAAGTGATTTGGCATTACTTTCGTTTTCCTTCGGTTCCGTTAATAGTGCTAGTGCCATAGAAAATAGTAAACGCATATCTTCGTAGGCTGCATCATCAACAGTTGGATCTAAAATTCGATGTTTAAATTCTTTCAATAAATGAATGGCATTGGCTCCATTCAATGCATCACATCCTTGTTCATGTCGTGCAATATTGTATAAGAGCCGAATACTAGTCCGTTGAATAGTGAGTGATAAGTCGTTCGTATTAATCCATTTGAGCATGAATGAAACACAATTTGCATTGAGTAATTGTGGTACCAGGATAGTGTTATCGACCAATGTCCAAATAAATTCCAATATTTCAACGATCGTGAGTTGAATATCATTGTCAGTCTCAAATAAATTCGCATCTACGTATTCTAATAGAAGTTGAATGGTAGATTCTTGATTAAGTAAATCATCTTTTTTGAACACGATGTCTTCTACAATATTTTCCATTTGCAGTAGCAATATGCGCAAGATGTTAGCTGTATGTGGTATAATTTGATTGTTGGATTGATTTTTGAGAAGGACTGTAATGGCTGGTAGTGACAATAATTCAAAGATACGATAGAAAATATCACGAGCATAACATGTGTCATCTCTGAAGATGGATTGAAAGTTGATGGATGTGTACACTTTCATGACGGAGTTAAATATGTGTTGAAATTGATCACTGGCAAGAATATTGATGGATTCGGTCAATGAAAGAAAGTCAGCGATATACATTTTCCATATAGCATGAATTATATCGGTAAGTGCTTTTGGACTCTCGACGTAAAGAAGAGATTTTATAGAAGTCAAAACTGACTCAATACAGGATAGAACCATTGAATCCATATGATTAATATCCGTGCTTGATTCATGTTTCAAGATTTCTTGACGAAGATTGATCAACGATGTGAATAGATCGCGTGAGATTAGGTTTGGATCAGCTATTTTTGATGACTTTTTCATCGAAACTATATGATTGTGTTTAAATGGAATTGATTATATACAGATGGATTGTAAGTGAATGCTTGCTGTTCGAGGAATGAACTAAAATGAATGGATCAAATTGTAGCATCAAAAATCTGTTCTAAAGAGTTTTCTATCAGCCATCAATGCTATCGTGAATTGTCAGAAACCTATCGACCAATGAATAATGGAACGAGACTAAGAAATAGAAAAGTTGTAGCACACGACACGACTGATGTTGTGTCCCCACTAGTTCTGACAAACCAAAGTAGAATAAAACAAGATAACTTGACATGTTGCTGGTACATAAGAAGGTAATCTTTTTTTTCTTGTGATCAATACAGAACTAGTAGGGATACAACAGTGACGACCATTCACTAGTTCAGTGTCGCTGATCCACTGGTTGGAAAACCATAACCACTATAGGTCAGTAGCGGTTTCACCAGTATTCTCATAACATGTCTCTAACTAATCAGTTTGATGGACTTTCAATCCAAAAATCGGATTCGTTGAAGAAGGAAGAGGATTGATACTTATACTGAAGCCGTTTTGCAATATCCTTGTTGAAAACTTCAAAAGCATCTCAAAGTAGAATTGCTGTAGCAAGTTTTTCAATCAATGACTCACAGTTTCAATTGATAAAAGTGGAGACAAAAAAGAGACGAACTGATTGAAGCAGAGTGAAAATACTCAAAATTTTCGTTGTAAGGGTATTTATGATACACCGTGAATATGTGTCAATACTGATTTTTTGAATGAACAGTTACATACGACTGATTGTCTAAAGAAATGGAAACAGAGATATCTGTAATTCTCTACACTACCGATTGACTACAATAATCTCAATCTATCTATATAAAAAAGCCAAGTCGAGAATTGGTACGTTCCATGTTAATTAAATAAAGTGATATCTATCAGAATAGCACTTAAATAAGTATATGTTTGCTCGCATATTTCACTTTGATAAGCAAGCTTGATTCCGTACAGAGAGCACACGATCTGAGTTCAGAAATTCGAATGTACCTCTCGTTTTGTTTGTAACTAGCTTAATTCAACGGACAATAATGCCTATTCACACTACATGATGAGTTTCTACTTTGATAACTTACCTAAATTTGACTGAATCGACGATTAAAGGACGAATGCCACTGACAGTATGCAAAACAAATTCAGAAAACAGTTGCTTAGTACCTATTGACTAATAATATAACTTTACCACTAACACATTTTTCGATCGCTTACCTACATTATATATGTATATCGACCATGAAAAACTGAGTCATTCATGTACAGAACAGGAATGAATTTTTTTTTTTTTTTCTAGTCATCACTAAAGACAGAACGAAAATATGAGAAAATAAAAATAAGAATGCACAGACGATGTAACGAATTTTGTGTACTTTATTCGTTTTTTTACCTGTTCCTTGCATGCCTGTACGCGATGCAAACATGAGTGTGGGTGGAAGTATATGATTCTTCTTCACCTACGCGACATTTATGTGTTGATATTTATTCATCTTTAATCAAATTTTTAATAATCATATATAAATTTATTTTAATTTTTGTACAATTCATCTCATTTAATGATGCATATTTAGTTCTATATAAAGAAGGCCACATCATTCTTCAAAGAAAATCGATTTTCGTCAGAATTATTAAAATTGAGATAAGTGAACAGGAAGATAGACTGAGATCTGATCTTTCATCAGCATGTCAAAAACCTTACATACATCTATCAAGTGATAAGCATTAAGAGAGGGAGAGCATCATTATGTATAACAAGTAAATATTACAATGTAATATTATTTTAACATTTGTACCACATTTAATCAAATACTCATTGATAGATACCATCGTTATGAGCAATAAATTACTTATTCGATGAGATTTTAGAAATATTTTACGTTACTTTTACATTTAAAACATTTTCATAAAAAACTGTTTGAAAAGAATAGTGCTGATTCAACATCAAGAATATATTTAGATCGTGTTGCAATGTTGAACAAGAAGTCAAAATATGTAATAAGTAAAAATTATCTAATATAAGTTAATTGGGTTGTTATTCACAACGAATGAGTAAATTCATAAAAACATTCATATTTAGCTGATTCGATTGTAATTATTTCTTTTGTATATTATTGCAAACGAAATGGATATTTTTCATCAATTCTTGGTGAATTCGAAAATAGATTTTCATTATTTCGTATTTCATACTATTTGACTTATGATAGTGAATGTTTGTTGAGTGAATGCTAATAACTAAACGAAATCGTGACAACTTTTAGATGAATCATATATTGATGAAGAAACTTCTAAATGCTTTAAACGATGAGGTTGATTGAGAACAAAGTCGATCTCTAGTCACAACAGATCGGCGTGTTGCATTGAACAACACAGAATGCAGGCGCCGCAGTCAATGAATGCTTAAAAATGAAGCTATCAATCAGTGACCATAAAATAACCGGTCGATCATTGTGCAACGATAAATTCTCAAGTGAACATGAACTTTATTATCTATTTCATTTTGCATATCTTCTTCTATGATGTTTTAATAAATATTCCAATAATTCTTTTATATTTTCTCGTCTCACTCTCATTTTTCTATGTGTACCCGTCAGTTTGTTCACATATTTTCCAAAGTTGATCGACTTCTTGATGCTCAACAGTAACAACTATCATGGGAATCAGTTGACTTTCTTTGTCGTTTTGAGAAATTGGACTAACTAAACCACATTCTTTTTTTTACTTTCTTTGGTTCTCTTCTATTTTTACGCGTTTTTGTTTACGATCTCATTAACATTTGATCTTTTTCTATCTGTCCCTTCGCCACTGAAATGACCACTTGTAAAACGATTGCAGAAACGAAATGTTCTCTATTGACACACAATACAGATCTTTCAGAATACCTGTGTGATAATTATAAATTATGATTCATCGCTGAGTCATTATAAGAGAGTTGAAGTGCAATCAAGAACAAAGTTAATAAATGTATTATAAAACATCAACAAATCAGAAGTTGAAATTATATATTTTTTTTCATAATTTAATGTCTACTTTTGACATTAATTTTTATCGATTCATTTCTTCCTTTTTTCTATTACTACGAAAAATAGGCTTGATGTTTCTTTTGCTCACTCCATAATGTGCTTAAAGAAAAAGAAATCCCAGCTTAGCATGCCGCTCTACATCCTTTCTTCATCACGCAATCATTAGATCCCTCAAACAGCCGTATATAAGCATATAAAAATTCGATGGATTAGACGACATTATCAGAATATTAGACAGACTAATACTCTGCTTATAAAGTTGTTTTATCAGCGGTGCCTGTGGAACCACTGCAATGGCTAAGAATTAAATAATTTTTACTTTCGCAATCCTCTAAAATAATTACTGAAGTCATATTAATTTATTGAAATCTAAATGAAGAAAACTGTTTACTAAACAATTCATTAATATAAACATATTCATAACTTATATGTCTATTTGAGTTCATTTTTAAAGAAATCTTCATGAACAATTTGTATATATTCTTTCTTTTCAAATTAATATTTTTTCGAAAAAGTAAAGGCACATTTATAACACTATGCAGTTTTTCTAGAGACTTCGTTATCTATTGTCATTAGCTGGAAATTTGATTTCAACATCAAAATCAGTTTTTTGTTTGCTGGTTGATTCTTTTCAAAAATGGACATTTCCTTTATTAATTAAGATTTCTTTGAACTCATTAAATGAGAAAAATAAATTCAACAAAGACCGCCAAGGTTATATTTCTTTCTTCATGCATATTTCTTAGACAAGTTTTTTAAGCTTTCATTTTTTTTTATCGACTAAATGAACAAATTCTAATAGATTGTGCAATGCTTGTAGCGAGCATTTTGAGAGACTATGAAAGAGTTACGAGTTGCATGACTTCAGAAATAAATATACCGATGCAGAGAAACAACGAGTATACAATGAGTTATTTAAATTTTTACTTTCTATCAACTCAGCTTATTTGTCGTGTGTACCCTACGTATTTCAAACAGAACAAAACCAACGAAGATTATTTTCTTTTTTTATCAATCTTGAATAATACGGCACTTTAAAAATCATCATTTTTCCAAGAACTAATAAAAAAATGGATTCCAATTTACATACTGTTCGAGACAATGTCCATGAACTCGAAACCCGTTTTGATAAGTTACGTAACGAAGTTATTTTAAAGTTAAATGAATGTAGTGATTGTATCAAATCTGCAAAATACTTATGCCATCAAGCAAAAGAAATAACTACCGTCTTAGAAAACAAGTTAATTAATACATCGAATGAAGAAAAAGAATGGAAAGATATTAAAGTTAAATTAGCAACAACATCTATGAAAGGCATGGTCATACTCAATGTAGGAGGTGATAAATATACCACAAGTATTGAGACATTAACATGTGAAAAAAATACTTTTTTCACAGCACTTTTCTCTGAACAATGGCAACTCGAAAAAGATCCTGATGATCGAAGTATATTCATCGATCGAAATGGTACAATTTTTACTTATATTCTTGAATATTTACGTACAAATATGTTGCCAGATAATGTTATGAACGATAAATCACTTCTAAAACGTCTTATTGTTGAAGCCGAATATTTTCGTTTGCATAGTCTAATGGATAGATTAGGCGTAATATATTTTCCAAATGGATCATTACTGGAATTAGTACATCAGAAAAGGTTGAATGAATTTTATGGCAAGATTTATCAACGATGGGAATTAATCTACAAAGCATCACGTGATGGATTTGATGGCAATACATTTCATTCACATTGTAATAATAAAGGACCAACAATGACAATCATAGAAACAAATAATAATTATCTGTTTGGAGGTTATACAGCTATATCGTGGACATCAGGTAATCATTCATATAAGAATGATACTACAGCATTTTTATTTACTTTGATCAATCCTCATAATATTTCGCCGACTAAATACTTGATCAATCCTCGTCAGAGAGGATGTGCAGTTTATCATCATCGTGATGATGGTCCAATATTTGGAGGTATCGGCTATTTCCCACCATTTCGAAGTGATAATGATATCGCCGTGAAAAATGATAGTAATTCGAACAATGCTAGCTACATCGATTTCCCTTTTTCATACCTTGATACAACTGGAAAGGGTAATAATACATTTACTGGAGCTCGAAATTTTACTACATCTGACATTGAAGTTTTCAAATTAGCTTAAATTATTTTTCTCACTCATAACATTCAAAGATAATTGATGAAAAATTATTTACTTATGATTATCTTGATTTTAAAACCTATTTAATTCCGAAAATATAGAATAGACTGTTGATGAATATATCTGTTTTTGATTCTATATAAACGATATTTCACAAGAAACAAGCACTATTGAGGAAATTAATTATGTTGTATACTTCTTTACTTACAACGATGTCATATAGAATTGCACGTGTTAAACAAACACATTTTATTAATAGAAATACTATTTTTTTCTACAAAGACATACATAGAATTCTAGAAATTTATGAGTGAATTATTTTGCATGTTCTGCTAGATTTTTGAAATAAAAACAACTGAAGCTAATCTTAGAAGTACAGGAAGAAATACAAGAGGGTGTGGGTGAGAGTATGAGCATGGGTACGAGTGTGGCTGTGACTGTGGCTTTGGGTGTAAGTTTTTGTTCTACTCTTCTGTTTACTATACCTGTAACCGCACTGACATCCACACCTACATCCTACACCCACAATTACACCAACCCACACCCACACCCACACCCACACTCACCCATATCCCATACCTACACCCTACACCCAGTAGTTGGTGCTGTAAAATGAATTTTATGACCTTCAGTACTATAAAACTGGTCAAAAACTCGGTTCACAGCTTGTGTCATCCCTCATGAGTTAGGATGGCGATTATAAATAAAAATGGTGATAGCTGCACAACAAAGCTAATTTCCATATTCGTACACGTTAGAGAACAGTTAGACAAGCGTCTTCAATCTATCCGATCCGGTTGATTAGAGTACGATTCGAGACGGGTGAAATCTGTGCTCTTTTTTAGATGCAGACGATCCATAAGAAGCTTTTCATCCAAGTAGTTGCTTCCTTTTGTTTCTGTGTGACGAGATTATTTATCAGTCTAAGGAGAGTATCTCATTTGTTTACACACAAGCTTTCAGCGTAATGTTTGTAAAATTATAACAAACCGTACATTTGTTCATTATCTTGATGCTATCTATTAGGTCTAAAAGCCATCGAATCATTGCACACTGTACATATCATGGTGTTTTTTCTCGTGGTTCTTTTATGATTCTCAAGTAAACATCGGAACAGCTTTTTTCTTCGTTGTCTCAAATTCAGTTTGTCTCGTCCTGCGGATCAAACGGGTTTTTATGGAATTCGGAATTGGTTCGCAGGACTTCACTCCCTATGGAAGACTGACGTGAGTCCTGCTTTGAAAAGAGTTTGAACCCATCTAGAAACGTTAACAGAGAAGTCTTTGTTCCCTCTACAGGCATGAGCAGGTGCAAAGTCTCCTTTATCCGACAACGTTCTTCTGGTTGTGCCATTATTATATATGAATGCCAGATAGAAACGTTCCATATCAAAGGTGAACACCAATCGTCCGCCTGTCTGTACCTGTTAATGGAACGCATAGTGAGCAAAAGCTACTCTCTCTTTATTTTTTATTTAAAAGCGACGATAGTTTACTTTAGAACATTTCCAATATACAAGTAAGATGCCAGTTATTATTAGAATATAAATAATGTTCCAAGAAAATGTATGACCGGACATCACTCTCTTCCGATATTCAAGTTGTCCGAAAGTTGAAAGAATAGGTAATGCAGTCCCGTTTGAACTAAAAAAACTTTTCCGGTCAAAGCCGGCCAAATTCGTGAAGTCCTTTAACGCCACATATTCTGCAGCCCACCATATAAGGCCAGTTTCTCTCTTTTTTCCTGGTAAGTCACTCAACATGTTTGCAATAGATGTAATATACAGCATTTGTCCTTTCGGACTCTCCTCGAACCCGGTGATATCCTTCATGGACTGTTTCAAAGAAGGATCTCTTTCCTAGGGATATGCTGTTTCAACGATGAAGATCGATTTATCATAACGGCGAGAAATTTGTTCAAGACAGAAATGTAATGCACCTGGTTTACCATGCCAAAATGGATAATAGCTAAGACCGATTATGTCAAAATCAATATCTGCTATAACTTTATCAAAAAACCACTGTGCATGTGTCCATCTGGTGGACGAAGTACTGTGTACGATAATTTTTGTCTTTTGTCCGAGTATTTCCCGCACAGCTCGGCTGGCAGCCCGCAAAAGTGTTGCCAAGCGTGGCCAATCACTGTCCTTATTTAGTCTTCCATCGGGCCATAACATTCCATGCGTAATTTCATTCCCGATTTGTACATATTCGGGTATCGAGTTGTTTTCGACAAATGCATGTAAAGATTTGCGTGTATAATCATGAAGTCTCGCTACTAGCTGATCGAATGTAAGATTTGCCCATGTATTTGGCTTTAACTGATGTCCTGGATCGGCCCATGTGTCAGAGTAGTGAAAATCAAGCATAATTTGTAGTCCATGAGCTTTGATTCGACGAGCTAATCTCAATGCAAGATTCAATGTATGTCCATAATTATAGGGGTCAGCTACTGCTTGTTGTTCATTTGCAGTGAATAGACGAAGTCGAATCAGCTCAATATGGTTGTCTTTCATAAGTTGAAAGAGATCCGTTTGCTGACCTCGCTCATCTCGATAGATGATACCGTGTGTTTCGAAAAATTCAATATGAGATATATCGACACCAATGAACAAGGCTGACGACGAAGTAATCAATAGAAGATATATAAAAATCGACATGAAAAGTGTTTTTGCAAGAGTTTTAATCACGTCTATGTTTGCAGTATGTGTTTCGTCACGCTTGGATGGGATCAGTCAGTCGATACCTATGGTACACGCGGAATGCGTGATGAATCGTTGAATCAATAGCAAATTATTTAATTCGTGCGGCGCCACTTGTCTTGCCATTGTTCCGAAGGACAGGAGTAGTACCAAACATTGTCGCATAGAGATTAAAAGGTTTTGGCAGCATTCGTTCTTTTTATGCCCAAGTCCCATTTTCAAGATCAAAGTCGCCAGACGGCGATAAGTAAATGACAATGACTACCGCCAACCAATAAAATACTTATCCATGAGAATAATTGAGTGTGTTAAGAACAGACAACTATCCATCAGCCGTGAAAACAACCCTTTATAATGTGCGCTGTTAGAGCAGACGACAGAAATGTAGATCATGCTCGATTTTCTTTGTCTTTTTTTTGTTGATAAGTGCCTTAAGTTTGATCTCTCATAGATGTAAATTGCCTTTTAATTTGAACAATAATCAAGCGGACACCGGTTATATTATGTTTGTTGTGTGGTTGACAAGATCTTCTCGAGAGTTCGATGTGCACAAGGATCGGACCATTGAAAGAGAACAAAAGGTCAAAGAGCAATCATGATCATGAATGCCATTGGATAGAAAAAATATGATATAATGGTTGAATCCGGTTATGGGAGAACATCTATCGTCCCAAGCATCTCCACACTATCCTCTCTCTGACCTCTTTATTACCGTTCCGATTAGTTTTATCAATCAATGTATATGTGTATATATACGTGTGCTGAAATTACTGCCGTTGGATTTACTGCCGTAAACAAGGTTTACGGAATTACTGCCGCTGGACTTACAGCCGTAAACAATATTTATAAGATGCGTGTTGTGTACTTGCAGAATATAGAAAAAGTAGACTTTCAATTATTCATCAAACTAATAAATTTTTACTTGCCATTTACTCATAAAATCTTTCGTTGCTAACATAATGGCATTTTATACTACGCCGAAATTCTGAAGTCTTTGATTTATGTAAGCATATAAATCAGTTTATGTATATTAGAGGGTTCGACGTTACTCTTATAAGAATTCTTTTATTTTTATTTTTTGCTTATAGACTATTTAAAGAAAACAAGAACCAATTGAAAGATAAAAATTCTATGCTACATAGTCAATTCGTTGTTTTATTCAATTTTAAAATATTGAAAGTAACGAAGACCAACACCTTTTAAGAATGTTTGTCCATTAATCTGTTTTTTTTCTAATCTATCCAATAAACAATACAATGATTCTTCAGCTATGCCAGTAGCTCTTGGACGTTTTGGTGGAGCTGTTATCTACTTAAAAGTTTAGAAAAGACTTATTCCGAACGGACGATATCCAATATTTAACTTAATGAATACTCCTAACTCATACTTCTCAAAAAAAATAAACGAAGAAAATGTTTAAGGGACAATGTCAAAACAAAACTCAATGAATAAAAAACATCAACATTCATTAAAAACTTAAATCTACATAATGCTACATGATTATCATCAGTTATGTTATCTATTATATGTATCAGAAACATTTTTTATTTCAATGTTTTACAGCCATATAAAAAAATAAAGAATAAATTAAAAATAAGTTATATCGTTTTATTCTTCTTCATATAGAATAACTACCAAAAGATACTTGCTTATGTAGGAGATCAATAATGAAAGTAACTAATATAACTAAGAATATATTTGATATTTACAATAATTCACATTCAGAGTAATTGATCTAATAATGAATGATTTGCAAGCACGGAAAACTATTATGATGAATAATCATGCACACCAACTGTTAGTGTCTCTTTATGATTAGTAACTTTAGTGTTATTTTCTTGTTGTAGTTCATCATTTTCATGATTTGTATTTCGGGTCCCAATGTTTTCTTCTATGTACACAAATTTTTCGATGCTCTTCTAAATAGTATCGCAAATGAAGTTGAACCATGGTCAAATCCAAAAGTTCACTGTGATCATCGATAATAAAGAATGCTGTGGATTATCTTTGTTGATCGCTAACGATTGTACGAATATTTTTCAAGTTGTGGATTATATTCAACAAAATGCTTTGTTAGATACTGAATGTGATCATTTAATTCAATGATAGCTTGTGAATCTTTCTCGAATTCTTTCGATACATATTTTGATTTTAAACGCATGTCGGTTATTGATTCAAGTGACAGAAGATCAGAATAGTGTCTTTCCATGTTGACTGACATGTGTTAGAGAAGACTACTTTAGTTTTTATGAAAAAACTGCATTGATGCATAAAACATGATCGAGTATTTTTATTAGACAGAGTACAAGTGAAACACTGCATCTACCAGGACGATAGAATATTCTTAGTTCGAGTGTCACGAAGGTTCATCTTTTTCTTTGTATCTATCCAACTCGTCATTACAACACTATAAGTCAGAAAGTCTTTCTCAAATGACTTTTCGTCAAGAAAGTTGGCAGAGTAAAGGTCGTTATCATTTCCTGTCTTGTGATTGTCTCTGATTCATAGATGTGCATGTCTTTACAAGAAGGAATGATTGAACAGTTGAAACTTTTGTCTCATCAAATAAACTAATTAGTGTTATGCAGAAAAAAACTGCAAACTATAACTTATCTGTTCCTTGTCGCTCATAATAGTGAACCGAAATATTTAATTTTGTGTGCACTAAGGCCGTACTATTGTGACATGATTCATTGCTATAAATCGAATGTCATATCTGAACCTTTATGAGTTAAATCAATTTTGGACATATCAACAAAGTAGCTAACCAAGTCCATAGAAAAACCTAGAGTACTATAGATAGAATAAATGCAATAGTTTGATAATTATGCTTCTTCATGATTATCAAAAGGCCTTAAAAATCAATTCTTTTCTTTAATATGATTTATTTTTATAACAATCTTTCTCATGAATATAAAACAAGTTACAAAAAGTTGATAAGAAATCAGAAAAAGAAAACCATAACATATAATTCTTTTTTTTTTCTACATAAAAAAGACAGCAATAGACACACCAAAATGAAAAAATAAACAAGTTCTGAAGTATATATAAGAAAAAAACAAACATAGAATATATTCACAGTTTTAGCATTTAAAAGAAAATATACAACACTAGACACAAAAAGAATGATTCAGAAGAACTTTGTTTAATTTGTTTGTTCACCTCGACAGATCGGACATCGAGTTGATGTCTAGAAAGAAAAAAAACTTTATTCTACAAAAATCTTAATACAATCATCGAAAAATATACCATAAGCCATGGATCAATACATTCACTATGAAAATAATGTTTACATCGTAAACGTTTAAGTTTTTCATCAGTTATATATTCATTTAAACATATAGCACATTTATCATCATCTTTGATATTTTTACAAATTTTTTCATAAATCATTGTCGGTATTCTTTCAAGTTCATTTTCTGTTAAACCAACCATTGGTGTTTCATCAGGAATAATCAAATCAAAAAACTCCTATATAAACATTGTTTAAAGTCAAAGAAGATAAATAAATAAATTACTTACACCAAACTGAATACTAAATGAAGTTGGTAAAGAAAATATTTCATGACTAGGAGACATCCATACATAAGCAATCAAATCAAATGATGTTATATGTGTATCAACAACATGACTGAACAATAAAAAAAAAAAACAAATTATTTCCAAATGAACTGAGTTTTTCACTACAAATAAAATGATGTTCACAGTTCATAAGAAAAACGTTGACTTATATACAATGTATGCTAGTGACTAAAACCAAGGACAAGGCCATTTTTTTTCTAGCAGTTTTCCATACAAATGTCTTTTGATCTCATATTTACATTCAAGCTTTATGTTTTGTTAAACATTGCGCTCTGAAATCTTGAATGGTGATACTTTAAAAACAGTTTTTGATATGAATATAAACTGTCAACACACCTTTATTAATAATTAAAAAATTAGACCCTTTGTTCAAAATATGGTGATAAGATTCAATTTGTTCTCGGTAAGTTAAATTTTGTGTTACCCTGTAAATGCACTTACTGAAATGAATTAGTAAGAAGAAAAGAAGGTGAAGGTCGTTGGTGTACATAAGTAGCCATTGATGTTGGATGGAAAAATGGAGCACGATATGATGTTAATGCAAATGTCATTCCATTTCGATGTTGAGGTGAATGATTATGTGATCCATAATGAAATGACCGAGAAAAAGAAGGAATATAGCGAGTTGTAGGATTAGTTTGTTGTATTTGTGTAGATCCATGATTTCTACGAAATAAAAATTAGATAGAATATAGAGTTTGTCAATTAATATCATACATAAATGATCGATTTTGTTGTTGTCGACTATTTTCATCATTTCTTGAACGCTTTCGCTCATGATGATGTTGATTTGTTTGAGAATTTGATATACCAACAGTTGATGGTCGTCGTTGACGTTTTGTATGATTACTATGATAAGATGATCGTAATATTATTTCATTATGATTTTCAAAATGATAAAGTGGAACATATGCTGACGTTGTTGCTACATTCTTAAATCAAATTTATTAGAAAATAGTTAAACTAATTAAACATTTTATTACTTGTATACGATTCAAAGGTAATGTTGAAGTATTTATTTCTCGATTCGATTCAAAAGTATGTCGTTGAGATGGATATTCAAAATAAGAAAAATTATTTTGTATCAATGGACGAAATCGTCGTGTAGATGAATTATCTGATGATACATGATCATGATGATGGGATGGAATAAATGAATGATTTGAATATTGTCGAGACATGTAAAGTAACAACAAAAATAACAATCTTTTAGTATGCTTAATTCGATTTAACTAAAGAATACAGATATATTCCGCGTGTTTTCAATGATTCAGATTAATCCAATTGAATTTCTACAGTTGCCGTATCTCATGAGAAAAAAAGACAAACTAGTGACATCTAACAATGTTTTTAAAATGTACTAGTTTCACGTTGATGATATACTAATTTTATCTTTTGAATATGACACACTCGAAAGAAGACAAAACTTCCCATCTTGTTCTTTCCTTTTTTATTTTCGACTATTTATTTAATTAAAACATATTCAGATTGTTACACAAAGCGTTCGAATCAAGAAACAATAACAGGTTGTTATCAATGATCATAAAACTCATGATTCGTCTTATAAACTATCAAAATTTTGATTTGATGATATTGAACATGTGGCATCCATTTGACATGATTCTAAAAAATTAATATTCTTAGAAGATTTTAATAAAGATCAATGACCTACCCGAGTTACAGCAGAGTCCATTGGTAGCACATCGACCATTAGATAATACCGAACAAGCTGTACTCTTGATAGTACATGGGATTACGCTATGATTTTCACTTGAACATTGATGAACATCAGATGGATGTCCCATACGACAACCTAAACTTGTACAACAAATCGATGGTCCAAAACATTGACCATTGAGTCCACAACGTGGACACTAAAATAATGAAAAACAAATAGTCTATCAAAAAAATAATCATTAGATCAATTTCTAACTTGATGAGAATGAAGCATATTGTTGACAAGTAAACTACGCTTGCCACCAATAGGACAATTAGTAATATAGCATGCATAATTTAAGTGTATAATAGCGACTGATAAGATGAATAATGTATATTGATACATGATCTAAAAAAGTTATATGAAATATTTTGATTGATTCATTGGAGAAATTTACTTTGTTTGAATTAAATAGAAAACACACTTGATTCAGTTGCTTGCAATTGAAGAATGGAAAAAAACTGAGAATTTGCTCCTAAAATAAATATAAAAGTAGTAAGAAGCAACGGAGAGAGAAAGAGACTAAAAGGTGACAAAAAAAAAGTGATACAATTATCACATAGTGAGTGTGAACTGAAGTATGCTTATGTTTCTATTTGAATATTCAAAATAACATTAACATCTTTTTTTTTTCTTACATAAATTATAATTAGAAATTCATTTCAGAGTGGGAGTAGAGAAGTGGCGTAGTCTCAAAACCTATCAAATAACAAATATTCAAGTATAGTTTATTGTTCATTACTTTTATCACCTTATTTCTGTAAATTACTTGTTGAATTGATTATTGGACATCTACTGAATTAAAAAATTTCATGAATTTTATATCATAAATAAAGAAAAAATGGCATTTTAGTTAATGAAATAGACATGAAAATTGACGATTTTATTAATTAAAATGAATATTTCAATCAAGTAAATGGAATGAAAATGTTCATTTTAATTAAATGAATTTTGAAATACATTCATTTTTATGTCTGTTTCATCATCATTTAAAAAGCAATATTTTTTGATCTATCAAGTATCTAATAGTAGTTACTAAGTTTTTCTTTATCAATATTCCTTTTTATTTTATATCATTCAAATACTATACATAAAAAGAATTATAACTTAAAACAAAAATTCGTCAGTGTTATTAATTATATTAATTCAAATTGTCGATGGTATCTTCACCAAGTAATTGACATAATTCATTTAAACGTCTTTGCATTTCCGGAACACCAGACAATTGAGATTCAAGACGTTTTTTTTCACCTTTTAATGTTAAACGTTTTTCTGTGTCAAGAATTTCAAATTTCCATTGACCTTGACCATCAAATTGAAGTAGATGTGTATGATAAGCCCTTGAAAGAAGAAAATAATATCAAAAACAAAGAATATATAATTTTAAATTAATAAAATAAAACTTAACTAACCAAAGAGAAGGTCGATGTGTTATTGTAAGTAATGAAATTCCTAATTGTTTTGCACGTTCATATATTTTTCCTTCAACATCAATTGATACAGCACTTGTACATTCATCAAGTAATGCATATTTAGGTTTATGATAAAAAATTCGAGCTAAACCAAGACGTTGTTTTTCACCACCAGAAAGTATCTCTTTCCAATCACGTTCAATATTTAAACCACCTTCACGTTGTACAATATATTGTAATTCAACATTATTAAGAATTTCTATTAATTGATCATCATCAATACGAACTTGATCAATTGTATGTGGATAAATTATTTGATCACGTAAAGTACCTGGACACATATAAGGTCGTTGTGGAATGAGAAAGAAATTTGAAGAATGTGGCCGATGAAGACGACCAGAATAGACTGGCCATAAACCTCGAATAATTCGAAAAAATGATGATTTACCACAACCATTAGGTCCAGTAATAAGAACATGCATAGATGGTGTAATCTAACATAAACAAGTATAGAATGTTTCAAAAGTTAGGTTAAAAAAAAAGCAATATGAATATCTCTTTAACTATTCAAACGATTTACGTCTGGTTATTATAGTTTTATTTCACATAAATTTGTCATTAATAAGTGTACAAAGTGATCATTATAAATGATGTTTATACACCTATTAGACATCAATATATGTGAAATAATTTTCGAGCGAACTTTTGAAATACTCTGTATAGATATTTTTGAGTTCATTGATGTAAAAATTTTACTTTTAATGAAAGATTTTCGACAAGAACATCACCATTTGGAGTAATAATTGGTAGATTTTCAGCAATTATATCTTCATCTGATTCAATAATTTGACCTTCTATTATAAGAGAACAAATTGACGATTTTTATTCGATCGTAAAGAAAGTTAACCTGCTTGTTGATTGAAAGTAAATTTTCGTTTCATGCCTGTATTTGAATGTTCTTCTATTATCATAGGAATTCGTTGATATCGTTCATGTGCACATTCATCAAAAACATGAAGCATTTTATAAACTCGATTTGTATGACCCGATAATTCAGCAATCTTAATGAAATCTTTAAATTTAAAAATGAAAATTCATCTAAAGAAATTTTACTTCTTTATATGATGATATAATGCGTTCTAATGCATCAGCACCAGATGATAATAAATTTTTACTGATTGTAAATTCTTCTGTTCGCGAACTAATGCCAAGTGGATCGCCTACTGGATCTAACAACAGCAAAAAAAAGAAAAGAAAGAACGAAATATTCATACATTAGTTTGTATATATTAGTTACCATCTGTTATAGCTGGTCCATCATATGTGAGGAATGGTATAGCAATAAATATCATTCCACCTAAATAGAAAATTAAAGAATGAATAAATTTATGCATACGATACTAAGCATTTAAGTGAAACTATATATTGTCGAAAACTATATTAGGCTTATATTTTTTTTTTAACTAGTACTGTATATTTATGTATAGTTACATGAATGCCAAAAATATTTCATAAGAAATTGTTCAAGCATAATAAACCATAATCTTTTTTTAATAATTAAATTCGTTTGTGTTCGTAATTGATAATATAATTTGAATATCCATTTTTTTTCTACCTATTTATAATTTAAAAATTGTTTGATGAAAAATCTAAATTTCTTTTTGTTTTTTACATACTTCATGACCATCATAAAATGCAATTTCTTCAGCATTAGCAATAATTCTTGTATGTGCAAAACGAAGTAAACCTCGTTGTCTTGCTTCTTCAGAAACAAGTTTACCAAAGTGTGGTGAAAGTTGTCGAAGTGCCCAACATGTCATAAAAATGACTATACTTGTTAAAATAGGTACTTCTATTTATAGGAAAACAAAAATTTGAACTGATTAAAAATTCAATTTAATATCTTTGGTGTTTACCTTTAAGACCACGTGCATGTTTTTTCTGTTGAATCATAGTTACAAATGTCCATGATATAACAATAATATCAAAAAATGGTTTTGTTAATTGAGATAATAGATGTGTTAATTTTGATGTAAATATTTCAATATCATCTGTTAAATTTTGATCTGGTGTAAGTAAACGACAATCTAAATTTGATACGCGAAAATAGGTTTGGTTCTATTTTCAGTAGATTAATTGAAATTAAAATAATATTATATAGATTAAAAAACAAAAGTAAAATTCTTACACGAAAATATAATTCATATGCATAAGAAGTTAATTTTGAACGAAGTGCTAATGCAAGTTTTGATTCAGCATATTTAATTAAACTATTAATAAAACTAGCTGGAATAGCAATAATAAGAAAAATACAAATTGTACGAATAAGTTCACGTGAATTTCGTTGTACTAATGATTTTACAATAGCACCATCGAGACGTGCTATATAAATTGAAAGAAATGTTCGTATAATTAGAGTAGTTAAATGTGTAATCAATAAAACAAATGAATCACTACGTAAACGTGGTATTAGAATTCGAATAATTACAAAAAGTTGATTAAGAAATCGTTTATGAATTGCAATTAATGATAATGAAGGAATATTAGTAATCGATTCTTGTTGTGATTGAACAAGTTTGCAATGTTTTTTTAATATAAGATATCGACGATAACGACGAAGAAGATAGATACTTAAAGCGAATGATGATGAGAAAAGTAAAATCTTTATCCGACGAGAACGTACTATATTCATAGTAGTCAATAAGTGTAAACAATAGATAGATGCTTTGCTTTTTTTTTCTATTTTGTCTGTATGCGGGGACCCTTTTGATCACATAACAGGTGACTTGATGATTATCATGTCATTTTTCGTTATAAATTTGTCAATCAGTTGATTGGTAATGTTTCAATGGATGCTATGTAACCAACCGTGAATACTATTTGTATCTTTTTTCTTTTTTACAAAGATGTCATTCTGAATAATTGATAAAATTAGAGAAAAAAAAAAAACACCGCCAAAATATTTCACTATTTATATTTATTATACTTATTATTTTTTTCTTTCATCATTAACGATAAAAACGAAAAGTTTATAGTTATGTCTATAGATCATTCACATGATTTAGTTAATATGGAATGTTTTGATGTTACTTACACGACTGATATCATTCGAAAAATAGTGGAAAATATTCTTAATAAAAAACAATTCAATATGGAAAGTATTGATACATGGAGTCGACAGATTGTTGATTCTTGTCAAAAATCTCTGTCAGAAATCTACAATTCGTTTAAAACAATTATTACTACAATGATTATTTCTAAAAACGATGAAAATATACATATTGGCAATGCTTGTTTATGGGATTATCAATTGGATGGAAGTACAATTATTAAGTAGGTAAATAAAATTTAGCAAAAAGAAACTTAAACAATCTTTTCTTTTAGATGGGAAAACGATTCAATGTAAGGCATGATATAGACGAAAAAAATTCCTTTTCTACTATCACGTTTTGTTTTCTACAGGTATTGTGTTGTGTCAGCATTTGCGTTATCATTATCATCTACTACTTGATTTACTATCTGAAACTAAAGTATATGTGTATAGTACTAATTGTGCAAATAAAATATCTGAGTGAATTGCAATTTGTTGGTATGATTGACACAAAAAACTGAATGTAAGTCTAAACAATTTCTGATTCATGTATTTTGTTATATTCTATGTCTATTTTAAGCATCGAAGTTTTTTTTCCAACATTTCATTGAATCTTAAGAGAAAAAGACGTTGTACAGTTTCATTTTTGTTTAATTCAATAATAAAATTAGCTTTATTCATTTAACATGTTCAAGTCATTTCTTATCTCTGTGTGAAGGACTGAAAGTAAAAGAAAAAAAAAGATGAAAACACACTTTCCATATCCCGTTCATGCAAATTACATTCAAAAAGTTTGACTGAAAACATTTACTTAAAAATTGTCATTTTACTTTTTTTTTTAATAATAATTTGAATTTCTCTTGAATAGTACAATATCAAGAACTAATATTGTTATCACTAATAGGACTTTCTGAAAATAGTACAAATGAAAGAACTTTGAATCAAACAAACAAAGATTAGTGTATTATTGACAAAAATGTTCACGTTAATTTTAACGACCTGAAAATATCACTCAACGTTCTGCTGATGCATTTTTCTTTCATCATTTTTGAATAGATTATCAACAATGTGTTCATTTAAAGCTGAAAAAAAATTTAGAATTTATATGTACATATCTGCATAGCCTTCTTATAAACTACATCGTAGTGATATTCAGTAATACTTAGAATTTTGTGTTTGTTAATATTATTAGTCATTTCTATTCAAACAATGCTAAGGGTATTTTATCTTGCATGATATTACATAATTGCAATAATCTTGAAACTCGAGTTAATGGACAAGTAAGAATTTCTATTTTAAAAGATAAATCTTATTGAAATTGATTTATATTAAAATTATACAAAATTTAATGTTAGAACAGAAGATTTATTAGAAAATTTTAACATATTATATAAAACTAATATATTTTTTCATTTCTATTAATTAGATAAAATTATTTTACATGGATAATCGTACATTCACATTTCATAATGCTCAAAATTTTTACATGCTACTCTGCGATCGATTATATAATTTAAAAAGACTATCATTTGGTATCTATGATTCATGGAATGAATGGAGTTGGAAACCATCAAGTAGACGACAATTATACGAACAATTACTTAGCCGACCTTATTGATTACGACAGAGTTGGAACCGGACAGGTTTTTTCTGTCCGGTCCGGTCCGGTCCGGTCAGCAGCCGGCCGGACGAATTTTACAGCCAAACTGGCAAAAATCCGGCAAAAATAACGGACCATAAAAGTATCTGTTAACATAAAATGTTGGCGAAGGGGAATTGAATATTCACATGCAGAAATCCCAACTAGGGGTGATCAATTTACATTTACGAAAAATTTATAAATCCAAAAATAAATTTTAAAAAGTTTTATTTATTTCGAATTTAAATTGGATTTACATAAATTTAAATTTTGTAAAATTATTTAAATTTATTTAAATCCAGTTTAAATCAATATAAATTCAATCTAAATCAAATAAAATTCAATTTAAGTTCATTTAATTGGATTTAAATTCATTTACATTAATTCATATAGGATTTAAATCCAATTAAATTAATTTAAATTGAATTTTATTTGGTTTAGATTGAATTTGTACTGATTTAAACTGGATTGAAATAAATTTAAATAATTTAAAAAAATTTAAATTTGTGTGTATCCAATTTAAAATTATAATAAATTAACAGCAAATCGCCACCCTTAATCCGAACTGGAAACTAAAACTTGGGACTGAAACTCTCCCTTCATATTTTATAGCAAGGTGCGTCGACTTTTCGAGCTCGACATCGATATAAATTAGCTATTCAGATCAAATCTGTTTTTCATCTTAATTTCAAAAAAAAAAAGAAAGTTTATAACACATCTAACATAAAAATGTAAATTTTTATTTTTCTTGATTCAGGCAGCTGCCTAAGTAGCACAAGAGAATAAATTATTTGATCAAGGTTAAATTGAGCGATACACGAGAAAGAAATCGATAGAGATATAAAGAGAACAATCAATCGTTTATAGTCAAGTCGAAGACAAGATATCTATTGAGTCTTTCGCAAGCACATTCTTCTGACTTGAAAATATCATAAAAAAACCATTTTCAGTAGAGAAAATTCTTGGATGCAAACAACAATTTTGTAATGATAAACTGGCAAAAATCCGATTCTGTCCGGCCCGGTTTAACTTCTTGTCCGGTCTTGTCCGGTCCGGCCGGACCGGAGCCGGATTGCCGGACCGGTTCCAACTCTGGATTACGATGGTCTTCTAAAATAATTCAAATTTGGCTTTAATACTATATCAATTATGTTAAGATATTTTGTTATTGTGAATTTTATCTATATTCATGTATATATATATCAATAAAATCGTACAATATGTTGTTTTTCTATTCGATATTTTAAACAAATGGTTTAGGATAAACTAATATTAAATTCAATATACCCATCTAATAGGAATTATCATGAGAAAAATAAATGTTTCATCTAAAATCTACTATTTGTTAGTCAACATAATGTGATTTCAATTGGATTCTCTTTCGCGATCGAATCAATAATTGATCAATATTAATATGATAAACAAAACATGAAATTATTCGAATATGTGTTTATTTCAACAAGAATATTCATACAACTTTAGATTATAAACGTTTGCTCCTATTGATTGATACATATGGCTAGTCATGAATACATATCATGTTAAATATCTTTATTTTTCTCTGATTTAATTCCTTTTGTCATAAAAAAATAGCCTTCAAAAAACAATAAAAATAAAGTATTTCGTAGAGAAAAAAAATGTCTATCATATTGAACATCTAAACATTTTCCACATTCAACATGATCAATTGTCTGGTGGACTCTCTTTTAAAGTTATTATGGACTTTAAATAATATAGATTATTGACTTTTGCTTTTTAATGATTTGTTTGATTTCTTTTAAAACGATCGAATCATTGGTGCATTTCTTTACAGGAAGTTATTCGTGATCCAATGGAAAAATATCGTTGTTCAAGATTAACTGATTAATTAAAATGTTCAACTAAGATATCTCAAATTTTGTAAGATTCGAGCATTTAATACAAATATAATATATTTTGTAATTTGATATTGAAAAAAATGAAAGGTGTCTGTTTGATAAAATTTCTTTGATTCTTTTAGCTTGTTGACAATTCTGACCAAGTGTCAATGCTCACTTTTCTTTTCTCTGTGTAATAGATATAGTGTACAACGATTATTTTCCTTTCTTTTCTTTATCAAGAAGATTGCATATGCTCAATTAAAACAGCAACGACAAGAAGAAGAAAATATTCAAGTATATAGAATGCAGACAGATGTTCTTTGTTTTTCCGGTTCATTGAATTTTTGATAAATGAGCAGAAACGAAGAGCCATTCATTTCACTTTCTTTTTATTGCCTATGAATATATATATATATGTATATAAATATGATTGTTTCATTTAATTCTAGTCTGTAAATATTCAAAGATTTTAACACATCAATGACAAAAGAAGAATCACCCATTCTTCAAGATATACTTTTTAATTCAACAGCAATGACATACGATAATAATGAAGACTGTCAACTTTCTATCGATTTTACTGATATTGATAGTAAGTTTCATTTAAATTGTACACATATATATTGTTGGATAAAAGTTTTGAATAGTTGGATTTTTGAGCTTTTGTTCTTGATAGTCATAGCTAGAAAAAAATTCGAAAACATATTTGAATAACTGAAGGAATACTTTAAGAGTTTTCTGGCATCTATTTGCAATTGGTTGAAAATGGGTTCATTTGATAGAACAAAATGAGATACCTTTGTTCTCTCTTTATGACTTTCCTTTATCGAATCGTATTTTATTTACAGAGGACCCAAGAAATTTTTTTTTATCGTTCTATTTAACCCTTTACCCCGCACAGCGGCTCCGGAAGAGCCACTGATAAAATAACTTTAATAAATAGAGTATTAGCCTGTCGAATATGCCAATGGTGTGGCCTAATCCACCGAATGTTCTGATTCTGGAGTAAGGAAAGGATGTGCGGTGTGAGATTACTGAACACCCATTAACACCGACAGTGACGATCAGTGTGCACTGATCGTCACTGTCGGTGTCAAAAGTGTCGGTTTTTTCAGTGATGTTACTGACACCGCACATTCATAGAGTAGGGCGGTTTGATTGATATAAAAATCATGTGGTGGAAAATGAGAATTGAACGACATCATAAGGCTTAATTTTTTTTCTTTGACCACAATATTGACTTGACAGAAGCAGAATCTATCTCGTACTGTTGAAATGATAGGAAAAACGCAACGAGTGAATCGATAAACATTAACATAAAAAATGCATGCTTTTTTTACACCTATTGTCAAACTTAAGCCTATTTTATTTTGAGCCATTTTGTAACGTCTGGAGGGATGTAATTCGGCTACTTCTTGATTGCAGACACCAATTAAGGGAAAATATCTGCAAAGCAGAATCGGGGGGTGAGACAAAAATGACCGCTAACTGGAACAGGTTCACTTTGTGGAATCAAGATTTATTTATTATATGAAAAGAATACACAAAAAAATCATTAATGAAAGACAAATGAACATTTAACTTTGTTGAGGTTCATAGTCAAGATCATCCTTGTCAAATGTATCGAATACATTGATATATCGATAACCAAGTGAACGTAATCTTTGTTGATAATCTTTAAGATCCAATAGACCATCTAAATAATCTTGTTTTGCTTGAATTCGTTTACTTTCGCTTCTGTTCAAAATGCAGATGTTTTTTTCTCCCTCATTTCCACTTTGCAGTCATTTTTTGTCTCTCCTCCTCGTTTCCATTTTGCAGTCATTTTTTTTTTCTTTCTTCCCCCCCCCCCCCCCCCCCCCCCGATTCTGCTTTGCAGTCACCAATTAAGAGAAAATGTCTGCAATCAAGAAGACACGTTTAATTCATCATAAATACTATTTCGACTTCTCATGAGTTGAGGTCTATAATGCATATATTAACTTTGTTTTTGATTACCCTCCATCTGTCTAACAGTGACTACATGGTCAATTATATTCCTTAGTATGTATAATTTGCGGAGTTATCATGAAGCTTTCGAAACATATCTAATTCAGCAGTGGACTTCTTCATCGATTAATATCACACAGAAATTCCAAAAGATCTCTATCGACTGCAAGTGGAAAACATTTTGTTTAAAAAATTTCGAATTTTTGCATTATTTTTCAAAATTTTTGATTTTGTAAGTCATATATCTCGAAGGCAGAACAATGAAACAAAATATTATTTTTACCAATCGATAGCTTGTAAAGTTCCCTACAAATAATAACTTGGGAGTTTCTCACTCTCATGCTTCCTTTATTTTCTGTGATCGTTCTACAAATTGGTCATATATGACCCACTGGGGGTAAAGAGTTAATCTAAATGAAAGCATAATTACACATTCTAGATGTTGAAAAACTACGGTTTTGATGTTCTGAAGTCTCTATGTTAGAAAAAATTTGGAAAATAAACCTTATTGAATAATTTTGGTACCCACTATATATTGTGCAAGTTTATATCGTTTAGTTACATGTGATTCTGATCAATTTTTGTCTTCATTTGATATATGTTCTTTGAATTATTCAAAAGAAGACGACAAAGAAGAAAAAATCTGTATCGATCAACTTTTATTAAATTCAAACTTCGATATTCCACAAAGTGAGTAACATAATTATAATGCTTTATTCTCAAAATCAGGTTGAAGTTTTGATGTTTTTTGCTTTTTGCTTTTTGCTTTTTTTCTATTTTCTATTTTTTTTGTATGCAATAGAAGATATTTCTTATGTTTTATGTCCATGGTCATATATATGAAAAAAAAATAAATAAATAAATACAACTTGGTATAAGAGAATGTTATTGTAATAATAAAAATGAGAACAAAATTCAAAAGTTCATAAGATAGTGGGGACAAAATATGAATTTTAGTTTTTACTAATCTTCTTAATCATTGAGGCTTGTTCGTATTATTATCAAACGGTTTCATCGTAGCCGTGTCGAAAGCATAATATTTCTCTAATTTATCAATCACTATATATCAATTTAGATTAAATATGGCAGTATTTGTATTAAGTCAATAGTACCTATTCTACAATCCAGACGTGAATGCGGAAAAATAGAAAGATTCAATATCTGCTAATCAAAAATTATTTCTTTCTTTAAAAGGCAAGATTTTTTAAGTAAGACACTTTTGAAAAGGTGATACATATTAACAAATAGAAGTGATAATTTGTTTTATTCATTTATGACACTTGTCTTACTTTGATTCTTTTATATGTCATTATGATGTATTTCTCACATTTATTCTTGGTTGAATGTTTGCTCATACATATTAACTATTCTTTGAAAATAGCAATTCAACTCATTATTCTTATTTGTATAGTTATAAAAGAAATGAAGATCGATTTGTGAATGTTGGACATGATGATTATCAAGTGAGATGATGATTAGAAAAAGAAGTATACATAACTCGTATAGATTTTACACTTTTATATGAATCCGTTTTTATCTATGACAAATAAATCAATTTGAAAAGCTTATGTTACACTTTTTTACATACATATTTTCATATATCTTCCATAAATTTATTTAGACATTTCTGTTCCATCATCAACTTCGTCAATTTATGCTGATCAACAACAAAATATTGTTTCATATGATTCTGTAAGTTTATTATAATTCTTTCACTATGTTATATAAATATTTATACTTGATTTAGCCATCAGTAGATTTACAACATCATGGTATTTTCCTTTCATTTATTAATCCACCAGAACCGGTCTATCATGTACGTTACTTAAGCGAAATTACAAATTTACCAATCGATGGACATCTAGTCACTACAAAGAAATTAAAGAAAAAACATCTGTCAGGACGATATATCAAAGGAATACGTGGTCGATATGTCACTGTTGAGGTAAGTGAAGAAGAAAATTGAAAAGGCAACAATAATGATTTTTGATAAAAGTCATATTAATATATTCCTTCTTCGTATTTTAGCTTCCGACAATTCTATCTGATAATTCTAATCTTTTTATACGTGTTACTCGTCTTACTGTGCCGTATCAAGATATATCATTTATTCATCCATATCCTCTTCTATATTCATGTGCAAAGAAAAAAATGCGCTCTGATATCATTATTCAAGGTTCATCAATCTATTTTAAGATAAACAAAGATGAGATTTGTTCTCGTTCAAAACAGTATGTTGTCGAATAATTAAATATGAATTAGAATAGTATATTTCAATTATAGTTTTTCTCATATCATTTTTACACGTCTTAAACAATGTCATCTTAAACATATAAACACTTTATATTCATTTGGTATGATGATAAGCTAATGTTTATTTTTCAAAATTCAATTTATCATTTCTAGATAACAATGAAATGTCTTATCCATTTATTGGAAATAATGCTAAAACTAAAATTGCATATTATCAATTAAAAAAATCTCAACTTGATTTTCGTCTTGTAATTCGATGTGAACAAACTGGTGAATTTTTTAATACAAATATTTATTGTCGATCAAATCCATTACTTGAAGGTAGTTTTTAAATATTTTTTTTTTTTATTATTTCTAAATTTTCTTTTTCTTTTAGAAGAAGGTATGGAATTGAAAAAATCATTAACATCATAAAATTAAGCTTCTTTTGTTTTTGAACTTTGTATAAACGTTTTAAGTGATTTATTTGTTATTATCTTGGATGTTTATTTGTAAATAAAATGGATACCGCATATGATTTCTCTTAGTTCTTTTTTGATTGACAATTTAGTAAACTGTGAAAAAAAGTTGTTGAATGAGCAAACAAGAATTTAATTGACAACAATTGAATGTGATTCTGATGGATGAGTCAATCAATTATATGTATCATGATAAAGAAACTGAACGAAATTTTTATGTTGAATATTTACTTTAGAGTAACTGAATGATTCATTTTGAAATGTAAAGTAAATTAGAGCTTAGACTTTTCGATGAACATCCTTTTATTTTTTTCGATCATGTCGATCATTCACAATTCAATAATGGTTCATTAAGAAAAGCAATAAATTTAAATCAGGTCAATTAGAAATCACTGATATGAAGTATGTGAATTTCTTTTCATGGTTATCTTGTCACGTATTAGATAAATATTTTAATATTGTTAATGATAAAAGAAATCAAAATAGATATATAGAGAAGATATGAATTAAAATATAAATTTTCTGAACATTGAAAAATTCAATTGTTACATTTTAAGTGTGTTTTCATAATGAGATTGATAATTACGATATACCATTTAAGAAAAATATAATATCTTCATGACATGTCAACGCTTCGAAATATTTTTACTTTTTAAAATTGCTAATGTTTCTTGTATTTGGAAATAGATCAGAAAAATGGAAAACAATGATGTTTTACTGAAAAAAAAATTATTTCTAATGAAAACTCATCGGTGAATGATGATAATGATGAACCATACGACGAAGTCACTGAATACATGTAGAGAAAAATGAATTATCAAAAAGTTCTATTCCAGCGTCATCAGCAACAAATAAACAAATGCTTAATGTAATCAATCGGATTTTAGAAGAAGAAAGACACCAAATGAAACTTAAATCCTTATAAGTAACTCTGTTTGAAATACTAAAATATGACTTATATTGGTTAATAGTTAATGTTTCATACTGATTTTAATCAAGAATATTAGACTCTATAGGTGCTAAGATAATTAATTGGATATAGAAATTTTTGAGCCGAACACAAGTTTAATATTGATGTCGCGGCGAATCGTTCATGGTCGAATTACTCAAACAATCGTACAATATTGAGAAAAAAAGGTTTTTTACCGAGTTTCTGAACAGGGAAAGGAAGTCTTTTTTTGTAAAAGTGTAAACCAGGCGGTATAATGCGCGGATGGCTATGTTTTGATTGGCAGCTTATTGCCTGTATATTTGTGGTAGTGCGAACAAACATGCAACACAAGTAGTTACCTGAATTTGATTTTCAAATCGAAGAGAAAATTCTAGAGGAGCGGAGTCTCACTTAGTTCAATGGCGGACTTAGAGAGAGAATACAACACACTGATCTCCACGTTCTTTCCGGTACGCCGCCACTCTATTAATTTCCAAGATCTGCCAGTGTTCTAGCCTAGTGTTCTGCTTACATGGGTATACTCATCGCCATCTATGGATTTTTCTCAAAAGAATTTTTCATATAGAATAATGTTTCGCATATGTAATGTCAACAGAAAATCAGGCTTCTTCCCCCTTAAAAAGTCAATTTTCATCAAAATTATCGAAATTAAGAAAAATGCATGCGAGGATATTCCAAGGCTTGGTCTTTCATAAATAACATGATTTTCCATTTGTTATCTCCTTTTTTGAGAAAATTGTTGATGATTTCTGGTGACGCATTTCAGAATTTTTTGATGAAGATCTATCGTTGGAAAGAGCATATCATTATGCTCTACAATCTAACTAAACATGTGCAAGAGCAAGGTTTTTTTGTTCCAATTTAGAGTAACCATCTTACTTATTTAAAATGATTTTTTTAACTAAATCAGAAAACATCACCAGAAGAGACAGTTTCTCAATCGTAATACCACTGTGCTCCTACGCTTTATGAAATACAGGAATATGCAGTATGCCCTTTGATCATGATGTGGGTTTTTTTTGCATTACAAGATCTCAGTATGAATATAGTAAATTGATTTATGATGTACGAAAAACGACACTTGAAAAGTGATAGAGCACTCTACAACCCTAACATATCTTGACAAATATCATGCATTTTTAATATATATCTGTCTCAACATATTTTTTTTAAGTGATGACAGTCTTAAAATATTAAATAGCATGTACATCTTTCTAGTGACATCTTTCGATGGATTAATAATTCTGATATTAAAAATTTCTTAATAATTCATTAATATTTTAAATAAAATATTTTTGAAATTATCTTTGAAAACAATTTTTTTCTTGAAATTGATATTGTATTTTTAACTTTAAAACTCTCTCAAGACGTATAAGAGAGTCCAATGGCAATCGATTGTTTGTTATTTATTCTATTTAGATTATAAAAATTTTCTATATTTTATATCTATCATGTATCTAAAATTTTTTTTTTAGATATATCAGTCATTCTAAAACACGAACATTTTCATCTCATCATGTCTCGACGTGTTCGTACAACAACAGCAACAACATCCGGTATATCTTCATCGAAATCAAAGAAAACTTCTATTCCCATTCGAAAACTTTCTCATAATATTGTACAAAAGAAAATATCATTAAAAAAATCTTCATCAACAAAACGTTATCTTGAACAAACATCATCAACAATAATACAGCCAAAACAAAAACGTCTTTCAAGTTTAACAGCAACAACACTTCTTCAATATTGTGCAAGTATTCTATCACCATCAAGAAAATTAAATCATTCAATAAAATCAACTTCTACTCTATCGAATAATTCAAAAACAATTAAAGTAAATATTCAATCAAAAACAAAAAAAACACTTTCTAAATTGAAAACAAACAAATTCTTATTTATCTAGACAAAACAATCATCCATAGATAATCAACATCTTCCACGAAAACGTCAAATTTCAAATGTTTCCTCGAAATCTGATATTAAACATACACAAACAGATATTCATATGCCTACTCGTATACGTCGTGAAGCAAGTTCACGTGCATCTGCTATGATTATGCAACAAAATGAAATTGAACGTAGTCGTTATAATTATTCTCTCAATAATGAACATTCGACATCAAGTATTCGTCGACATCGTACAAATAAAGTTGATTTACCATCTCAACCACCTTCTAGTGAATCAAATCAATGTAATATTCCATCATATCCTGCTCCTCCACCATCTATAATTCATATACCAATTCAAACAGAATATTATCAATCATCAAATAGTGTAACAAATATATCATCAACTAATTCAAAATCTTCATTATTAACTGAAGCTAGTTTAGCTGAACATAATCGTTTATATGAAACAATACCTTCATATCATACAATAAAACGTGATAATCTTATTAAATGGACACAAGAAATAGATTTACATGATCATTTATCACCAGCATATCCTGAACATGAAATTTCAATTGAATCATCAAATCCAATATATAACCAATCTACAGGTTTAATATTATATTTTAAATAGAAAATTTCTATTCAATAATAATCAATATTCTTTTTTATTTTAGAAGTATCATTAATTACTGATTCAAAAACAATGGATTCTATGATATCGAATAGATCAACACATTCATTTGAACATTTATCAACAAGAAATAATATTAATCATCCTACTTTTCTTTTTCCATCAGCTGCATATTCTCTCGATTTACATTCATTTTATCCTATTTTACCTTGTTGGCAATATTCAAGTAAGCTATATGAATAATTTATATATATTATTGGATTTATTGTTTTTATTTTGTTTTTGATATTTTCTATATGCGTATTTATTTGTTAAATTTTTTTCGTGTATTATAAAAGAACAAGTTGAGTTTTATAACTGGGAATACGATCTATATATATATATAATACATGTATAGAAAGAATATGAATATTAAAATATCAATCAATTATATTTTCCCTTTTCCAATTACCATGTTATTCGATTATTGTAGATAGAAAAGAATATTTTAACTGTGACTGAAAAACCAGCTATTGGTATGTAAGAACTTCGAATAAATTTGCACATACAGTCACATACTTATTGTATACGCTTTCTTTTATTTCCCTTTTATTTTATTTTTTCGTGTTATTTATTGCACTATAAAATATATGATATTAAAGAGAAACTTAATGATTCATCTTCTTATGCTTAATTATCTTCGAATATTTAATTATAATATTATTCATATGTTTTCTTTTTTCATATTTAGCTTGGCCATTTCAATCATCAACATCTTTACACAATCAAATTCAACCGTCATCATCATTATCAATTAATCACAAAACATCTGTAATAAAATCCGAAAATAAAATAAAAAAATTATCAATACTGAATTCAAAACAAAAACAAGAAGAATTATCATTATCAAAAACCGATAGGTTAACATTTCATTTACATACACATCATCATCATCATATACATAATAATACAAATTCATCCTCATCATCATCACAAAAAGCTAAACAATATCAAGAAACTGATACTATTGTAAAATTAAATGATAATAATAATCTTATTGAAAATGAATGTAAAAATCGATCATCAACAATTGAAAATAGTATATTGAATCTCTCAATAAATAATAAAACAAATTTAGATCAATTAAATGAAACAATAAAAAAAACGACGCGAAGAAAGTCTTCTCCAATCAAACGAACGATTAATAGTGGAACAAAATCGAATAGGTGAGGAAAGAAAAAGTGTTATATCACTTTTGATATAAAATTTATCATATTTAATAGGCTCTTTTGAAATTAACTTAAGTCTAAAATAATTTATGGGTATAGAGTTTTTCTTTTTGAGTTATGATCTTTCTAGTAAGATTTTCAATAGAATTAAATAACCTGAACATTTCGACGAAAATTGGAAGCGACATTCATTTGCAGTTTCAATAATTTACACTCGATGGTTAACTTTTTGAATAAAACATTATGCTAACTCTTTTAGGATTTCGATAGGT